GAGATTGAATAATTAATAGTTAATTCTATTTCGTTGACAATAAAATATAATGTTCATCTTTATATGATGTCTTTTTATGTGATTTCTCTTCGAAAAAGATAAAGGGATTGTTTTTTAGCGTAGTTTTCAGTTTGTTTTTCATTTCTTCATGTGCCAGCTGTATTTCATTTCCTGACGTTGCGTTTATGATTTTTTTGTTAACGTCTCCCTTTTTTTAATCTTGTTAGCCTCTGAGTCACCCATTTTTTTTATGGTTTATTATTTTTTTTTTTTTAGTAAAAAATTAGCTACATCATTGTTCGGAGTTCTTTTTTTTCTTTATGGTTTCGACTTCTTCGGTTGTCGAACCCATATCCAACGTTTTCGAACGCTGGTTTGTTTATGTGTTTTTTTTTTTTACTAACCTACTAACTAAAAACCACAGCATACGTTGGGTAGTTTTTGAACGAAAGGTTAACACTCGTAATGCTCGTGTATTACCCTATGAGGTAAAAATCCTCAGCCAGTCAAGGACGTTGTAAGGCTGCCGATCGCCTGGAACCACTCTAACCGTTCTCACGACCAGCATCCGTATGTGAATTCGAGGGAACTTGGTCCCTTGGTGAGGTCGGTGTAAGGCTGTCCTTGTGTTGGTGCGAAAATGTGATTTCTAGAGGGTTCGATGATTAGAGGAAGGGTCTCTCACATGAGGTAGATTGATCGGTTTATCAGTCATGACAACTCAGTGAGTAATTCCTTCTATGAGTCCCTTTACGTATTTCATAGTTAGGTTACGGGCTGGGATCTTTTATGTCGTTTTCGGTGTTGCACTCGGTCGTTATATTCTTTTCGGGGGTTCAAGTCTGACCGGGTGAATCCCTGATAGAAATTGATTTTTTTTTATTCCACGGATGCTCCTGTCTGTGGTCTGAGTTAAGGGGAGGGGTATTTGGTCGGTAGGGAAGCACAGCTTGTTTCCCATAATCTCACTGAAATGACATGTTTTTCCCTGGTCAAACCAAAAAGAACCGACACGACCTTTGTTCGTCAAAGGGCCCTCGAGGGTTAGATAACTCGCGAAAAACTAACTGCCAGAAGTGGTGAAAATACTGGGTGTTTTAAATTAGTTCGTCCTAGCGGTTCGTCCGCTCTAACACGAAACAATCCGTTTTATAGAGTTTTCGTGATAAAAAATTCTGGGTTCACATTGGTCCGGTCTTTTGTTTCGTTGTTTTCGGAAGATCGAGGTGGTGGTGCGAGCTTAAATGTATAACAACGTTGTGTGATTTTTTCGCGCGGGTGCGTTTATTACGGGTTTCTATGCATAGAAAAATGAAACTCCTCTTCATCGAAGGTTTGGCACGCCTCGATGATTGTATTTGTTTTTTTGATTTTCGACGGTCTTTCGACCTGGAAAAATCAAACTTCGAATTAAATTATTCATAAACTTTAACCGATCCGACCCGAGGATCGTCACTACTCGGTTCCTTTAATTCGTTTTCTCTTCCTCTCCTATACGATTCCTTTATTGTTTTTTTTTAATAAATTGCAGTATTTATTTAATAAATTATATGCATTATAGCATCACAATCAATGATGATATTAAATTTAAATCTTTTGTTGCAATAACAGCAGAATAAATTTATGGAGTCATTAGCGAAGTTGCTTTACAGCAACAAGAGTAGAATTTTTTTTTCTTTTCTTTTTTTTTTTTTTTTTTTTGCGAATATTAATATTACGAGAAATAGAGAAAAATAATGACTGACTTGCAAAAAAAGAACAAAAAACTCTTTTTCTAAACTTTTCGGTAAAAATCAAGCCAGCGGAAAGAAAAATAAGGGGTTAACAGTTAATATTAATATTTAATATGTACGAAAATGTTTTCGAAATGAGTTATAGTCTTCATTATCATTACAGTTTGGTTAAATGTTAAAAGATGTGTTGTATTTACTACATTCGTATCAAGGTATCGATTTGTTTAAAAGCTTCTATCATTAAAAATAAAATAGCAATTTTTTTGAATCTGTACAAATTTGTTGAGAAATTACTATTTAATCTGTGCACGTGATGCACCACGTCATGGCATTATCGACGGCCTAAAATTATACCAATTCTGTCCATAAATCTGCCAAAATTCATACTCTAAATCTGGCAATTTATATTCAAATTTATAATCTAATTCTGCCAAAATTTACACCCTAATTCTGCCAAATTTATATTCGAATTCTGCCTAAATTAAACTCTAAAATATGCCAAATTTTATACTCCAAATTTATATTCAAATTTATATTAGAATTCTGCACAAATTAAATCCTTGAACTAGTTTTTTTTTTTAACTAGAATTACGATAGTATAAATTTTATTGTTATCATTATGCTAATATAAAAACCACTCTAATTTAGAATACTCTAATTTTTAATAAGATCTGCAATTAACCAATCCTCAAAATTCCTGGTTGGAATTCAAGTCGGCGGGCTTGAATTGGTCGATTCACGAAGAATGAAGTCATAGTAAAATTATCAGCAGAGCATTTTTTATTTAATGAATAGACTCTAATGCATTCCGACCAGGAATTTCGGATTGCCCTGTAAAAGATTATAATTCGGGAACTTGATTCTAAAAGCAGGATTACGTTATTTGAAGAAGATCAAAAATTAAACTCGAGATGAAACAATTGCAAAACGAATATTATAATATACTTTGCCAAGTGTTTAAATAATTAAATCAAAATTTTTCATTAAGGATTTTTTAAGTTTTGTGTTATATGATATCAATTTATTCTTTATTTCTATGATTCGTTAATTGAAACAAAAACATCATAAATTCATCGCATCGCATATATTTCTTGCTTTTGACTACAGATTTTGTTCATCCTTTTATATTTTAAGAATTGAAGATTAATACTTGTCTAAAACAAATATTGAAACTTAAAATAAAAACAAAAGATTTACATTTTCACATTTTCTAATTCTGTATGCAAATTGTCGCATTGTATCTTTAGTTGACTTAATTGTGTTTGAAGATCCGACAACTTTTTTCTCTTAAATTGCATGAGTTTGGCAGCTATAATAAAGAAATATTAACTTTAGTTAGAATATGAAAAATAGAAGATAACAAATGTAAACATATTAAAAACAAACTACCTTTATGCAATAAGGCAGCTTTACTTATTTTATTTATAGTAATAGGTTTTGGGAGTTGTTCTTGGAGCTCAATAAAACCCTTATTGATTTTTTCACGTCTTTGACTCTCTTCTGCTATTTTAATTTGCTTTCTTTCTTCTTTCGTGTAAATTTTACGCTCTTTTTTCTTATTGTGGCTAAATTTGTAGTAGTAACGATAAAAAAATCACATTATTCTTAAATACTTTAATATATATTTATAAATGTTGTATTTGAAAGTATTTATGTAATAATAAAAGTTCGTACTTGTTCAGCGCATCGATATGATCTGATGTTGAAGAATAACTATCATTATAATAATGCCAAGTTGGGTCTACAAAATAAATCTTATTTGTCACATATCGCTATAATTACGAATTAATGTTCTGTGCATATACATGAACATTAATTTTATTTAGCACGTTCTTATATAAGTGCAGCCAAGGCAAAACCTGTCATCGGGCAATTATTAAAAAACTGCATGTAAAACAATAATTTCTTTACCTTCGCTTTCAAATAAGAAATTTTCAAGTTGCATGTCTCCGATCGATCTTAACATAAAGGAAGATGAAAATTATTAAAGGTTTTTCTATAATTTAGAACAATCAATGAAGGATTATTCATGCCTATTATCATCATCATTATCGACCGAATTGATACTGTAAATAATGATATCATGTATGTTCGGATTAGATTCTTTCAAATAATTTTCATAATACTTTAAGGATTATACCTTTTCAAATGAACAAAATTCCAAGCATCATTAACTGAGAAATCTAGAGTGCAGGGAAGAATACGTTGACTTTGTCATGAATTAAAGAATTAAACGCGTTCATAAGTCACATAAACAGAAATAAAAATCATCATATTTACTTGAGTTTGAAATTAAAGTTTGAATGAGGTTATCATAATTCACTAAATTCATTTCCATCTTTAAGATATAGGATAAAGCAATAAATAACACCAATTTATAAAAATTTCGGTTTAATAAATTATGTAAAGATCTGTTTAAAAGATCTGCATTATCTTTATTGTTTGAACTGCATAAAGGGTCAGTCAACAGTAGAATTGACTGAAGCTTCTTAATTTCGATAGTGTCGCGTGAAATTTTACTTCGCTAAGGTACCAATATCAAAAGATGGGGTATTGACGGATGAACTCACTGGTATGGACAATCACGTGAAATTTTGTTTGCGAATTTTCGGACAAATAAAAAAAATTATTACTCTCTAAAAGTTAAAAAAATACATAATACTATTATCAGAATCGCTTCTAATAAAAGTTGCAGAACTCATCTTAAACGGGTTCGGCCTAAGTTAGGGTTAGGTTAAGGGTATTTTTAGGCCAGTTTTTTTAATTCTGGTAAATATTTATAATGTAAAAAACTTGTGTAATAATATTTTGTCAATTAAACTATTACAGAATTATAAAAACCCATACTATTACTAAAAAAATTATATTCTACATATTAAATCACATGATTAACGGACCCACGGGTCCGTATTTTTTTGATTTATTAATAAGTCAAATCTGGATTTATATAAAGACCCGCTCTCGCACTAACGAACGTAACTTTATTTTTTAATTTAATTTTTTTAGACATGTATATATTTTATAATTAACTCATGAAAAATGTATTTTTATAGTGAATTTAAATCCATATTAAGAATTTACAAACTAACATTTGTACAAAACATATAATAGGTATAACACCTCTGGCAAGGCAACTATTTAGTGTCTATAACAAATTTGTCCTTAAAATATTTAATACAAGTATCAAATCGATTAATTAAAATTGTAGAGCTTGAAGTCAAACTTTACATCTAATAAATTATATCATATTACGACCAATAACTTCGCTTGCACCAAAATCAAGTTTGGACCCATATAGACTTATCCAAGCACTTGCACTAGTCAGACCAAGATTTGAAGCTTCTGTAATTAATTTTCGAGCCTGTTCAATATCTTGTTGACAACCGAAACCACCAAGTAAGCGCATTCCCATTTTATTTTTGACTTGACTTTTAGTAAAATTATTGCCTTTGTTCTGAATTAATTGAAGAAGCTTGAAGGCTGATTCATAATCATCTGATGCGCATGCAACCTTAAATGTTTCGTTTAGGCTTTTAATGTATTCATTTTCAGCTTTTTTAAAGATTTCATTAGCATTATTAAATTTTTTGAAAACTTGATCTAGTTTTGATATTGTAATAATGTTTCGTTCTTGTAATGTTTTCTTCTTTTCGAAATTGCTCATCTTTTTGAATTTGATTAATTAAATTTAAGGATGTTTGAAGATTTTTTCTCTTTCTCTCATAACTTTTGATATTGCTTTAGTTTAAAAAAATTTTCTGTTAATTTATGTATTATTTATATTTAACTTGAGGCGTGATCAGGGCTAATTTTATAATAAAAATCATTATGAAGAGTCCAGATTATAAATGATAAATTAATTTTGTTGGTTGGTTTATTTGTTTAATAGTATTAAGAGAAAGTTTAAATTGGTTTATTTAATTTGATTTTAATAGTATTCAAGAGAAAAAGTTCAATGGAATGAAATCTTTTAACTTTTGTGCCATATTTTATGGTATAGGAAAACCTAATTGTTGATTTCTAATATACAGAATTAAAAAAAAACAATTAACATTAATGATGTAATAAAATTTTCTTTGACACATTTGCTAAATATAACATGATGAACAATTAACCAAAATTTATACTAATAATCGATCGAGTGATAAACTACTGTATTTTTGCGAAGCATTTCTAAATTTTTCAGTACTTCGAATTCTGTGCTAAAATAACAATGATTATAATTTCTCGTAATGAGTTTTTTTTGACTCTTTAAAGCCCTGGAATTCTGTAAAATATTTAACTCCGACTAAGTTAAGCGGTCTAAGTTGCTCTTGTGATTTAAATAATATTGGTTTAAAAAAAAAAAAAAATTTAAATTAAACACTTTTTTGTATGCAATACTGGCCAATTTCATTATTAATATTAAGCTAAATAATTATAAATAGTTATATTCAGTAACCCAAAATGTAACATTCCTAAATACACTAATTTTCTAATCGATTTATTAGAAACATCAAGAATTGATATTTTTGTAAACGATTAAAACTTATTGATTTATTTTTTAAGTTGTATTGTCTCATTTAGATCTAATTAAATATATTAACTATATCAAATTTAATTGTTCAGTTGGATAATACATGAAAATAATTTATTCAAATAATTCAAAAGCTCCTTTAATAGAAATCAATCGACAGATGATTTGAATTAATATTCATGTAGGTAAATAAATTAAAGTAATGGGTTATAAATTCAACAGATATTTCTGTTGATAACCTATCAAGTTTACTCAAAATATCAGTTAACTTAGGACGTTTTTCTGGCTCAGAGGACCAACATTTCTTATATATAACTGCATATTCTTGTGGTATGCCAGGAATTACCTCCTCTCGATAACCACAAGAAATTTTTAAAGCATAGCATAGTTATTTGTTAGGCCAGAGAAAGGATGTGTCCCACTGGTAAGTTTCCACAGCAACACACCCAGACTATATATATATGCTACAGAAATCAAAGAAGAATTTTAGTAATCACTTTGTTAAAATTAAATTTTAATTAAATTTTTAATTTATTTATCTTTTTAAGCCAATACAAAATTAAGCATAATTAAATAAAATAAATAATTGTGTTAATTAAATTTTAATTAATACTACTTTACAATAAATAAATACTTCCCATTTCAATTTATTTTTCAATCACAGTTACCTTCTATTTGTTTCATTTTCTCAAAAGATATGAATTAAGGACAATAACGTATAGTTCTGAAATTAATTACATCCAAATTAAGTGCATCCAAAAATTACGCGTAATATTAAATTTGGCAGTAGAACTAACTGTTGGGAATTTTTGACTATGATTCGACTTAGATATATAAATAAGACATAAAATTACTTAATTTTGCGTAAAATTCGTAAATTGAAATTTCATGTAATTGTAATTTTGAACGCGATCTAGGAGTTTACAATTCGGATTGTACATTCAAATCAAATTGTACACTAATATTGTTGGGCAATAATATTCTTTTTGTATCAATGTCAATTTATAATAGAACTTGAAAACATTTTTTTTTTTTTTTTTTTTTTAACCTCCCCCCGCTTCTCTGAAGGTCCTTAGACAGCCTTCAGTATATCTCACTTTTCGCCGAAGGGCCAGCGTTATCAGCCGTGGAGATCATAGGTGCGCGTGTGGCGCTCCTTTTATGTTTGGCTCCTGCGAGTTAACACATGTCCATTGCTGAGTACGTCACCACCGGTGTTCCTCAGCCCTTTCCATGCCACGTGCCGACAAGTCTACACAACAAATTTTAATTTATTTAATTATGTATTATTTTATGATGTTTATATAAAATCCACTATTGGATTTTCAATTATAAAATATTTAAATACTGCATATTATCCTTCTCTTCTGTAATGTTCAAATAATAAACATCAATTTTTCGCTAAAGCCTTGTACTCACGTAATCCCAAAACACTTAAAAGTAGTCAAATTAAATTTAGCAGACGAAATTACTGAAACGAGAAACATATCTGTGAAGTGAATAGATTACATAATCATAGGAGGAATAATATCTGCAATTGTAATATTAGTAATATTTTTAATAATAATAATATTACTGAACAAAAAGCGCAAAAAACCTGTTGGAGGGGTCATCGACTTAGACAAACTAATGAGTGATGAAAATGTGAGACTAAATAACGCTAATAAGCTTTTTGGTTAAGAAAATTTTATTTGTGAATAAATGACTTTTGGCACATTCATCAGCCTATATTAATTAGATGAGATTTGCGACAATTAAGCAGTCTCCATGGAAGGTATTTGCTTTTAAAAAAAAGAATATGTTTTTTTTCTAATTAGAAAAATTTTTTTCAATTATTTTTAATTTTTGATTAAATTAAATAGAATAATATAATAACGACTATTTTTTTTTATTATTAAGCATTCAATTGTTCTTTTGATGATACTATTAAATTTTGTTTAATATTTTTGAATAATATTTATAAAGATATATCTTGATTTTATAATTTTTATAATTATATTATCAATCTGGAGGTATTCAAATATTTCAATAAGCATTCATTTGGTAAAAAATAACACATTGGCCATTCGGACAAAGACGTTAATGAATGTAAAAAACAAATTTCTTTGTTTTACATGTTATCATTAGGACATTCGTGCATTAATTTGAGATATATTACTTATACAAATTACGCTAGTGTGCATACAAAAGACAATATAAACTAAAGAAGCAACAAGACAAGTTAGTTTGATATTTTATAATTTATTTAGTTATCAAATTGACAATTAATAATAATCATATAATAAGAAAAAATGAGATGTAGCCATGGCTATCTTGGAGTATATTACAGTATTAAAGTACCTAAGCATATTCCTTTGTTTAATATCCTGTACTAATTAAAAGTGGCATGAAATTAAACCCCAATTCTTCCTCTAATTTTACATTCAAATTCTGCCCAAATTAAACCCTAATCCTGCCAAAATTTATCTCTACTTCTACCCAAATTTATACTAGAATTATAAATTTTGGCAGAATTCGAATGTAAAATTAGAGGCAGAATTAGGTTTAATTTAGGCGAAATTCGAATATAAATTTGGACAAAATTATAGTTTAATTTGGGCAGAATTCGAATATAAATTTGGGCAAAACTAAAGTATAAATTTTGGTTTAATCTATCTGGGTAGTAGGGTCGTTATAACTTACCTGACAACGTAACTTACAATGTAAGTTACATTGTAAGTTACGTTACTATTTCTCTAAGTTTTTCAAGTTCAAATCTTCAATGTTGTTTTCGATTATTCGTTTGATATATCTATTCAATTAACTCTGCTTAATTAATACTCAAATGCATTTTAAAGTTAAACTTTAATCAGCACAAATGTATTATTATCGCATAAATTAAAAATTTTATTGAAATAATGCTGCTTAAATAAAAATAAATCATTAATTAAAATTTAACAATTACAAAATTAATTGAACTGATTTTTTGTTCAATTATGTTCTTTTTTTT